TCTTGCTTTACCGCAAGAGTTTAATCAGTCTGTGTATAAAATTGTTCAAATGTTTTTTTTTTGTACAAAGTGTTAACACATCGAGTTTTCCCTGGGTTAAATTTTCCATTAATTTTTATTCTTTTTACTAAAATCATCTGTAATTTTATCTTTATGTCTTAGTAGTAGGCCATGCTGTCTGATTAACATTTCCAATTTTCTGATAAATAATAAAAATTCAAAAAACATGAAAGCCCTAAAGTCGATATTACGCAGAATATCTACATCCTTGTACGCGAGCTTGAGCTAGTTCGAGTAATTATATTCGTTTGTGCGGGTAAAATTGGGAGAATTTGGGAGAATCAAAATCCCGACCAAGATTCCGAATAATTATTAAATTCGACTGCTACTCAATAATAAAAATACGTATGACTAACAATCATAAAAGATGATTGTAAACGAACAATATTGTCAAATTGCCTTCGCGACGAAATCTTTCGTTGTTTCCGTCAACGAGAGGGGCTGTTTCGCGCGGCGAAATTGTAACTAATGTAAAAGTACATCAGTATGTCACGCGCGTGTTACGATATAACGTACAAAGACTTTGGCTTGAATTGTATAAAACTGATTTTTTTGTGCGTGTCGCCTAATACTGCCGAAATTTTCATGCATCCTTCATTTTTACAAGTACAAGGATTGAATGGAGCGAAGTTAAATACAATCGTTGTGCAGTTTCAACATTGTAGAAATAGATCACAAAACTGTCGACAATTGAAAGATGCATAAATATTTCGCGACAAAATTTCGCCGGATATCGATTAGCCGGAGCGATTAGTGAGCTGCGAATTTATGTTTACCGATTTATATTCACGATTTATCGTCGATTGTATGATTTATCATCGATTTTTATTGTATATAATATACGTATGTAATACTGATTTTTCGATTTAATCAGTTCCAAGGATTTGTGGCAGTTTAAAAGTGTTTCAACTTTGTACATACATACCTTTTGCCAGTAATATTTGCTGGAGTGCATTAACGTTTTTTAATACATACAGTAGAACTTCATTTATCACGCTATTTTTGTTCATTTGCTTTTTACTTCAATCTTTCAATCCAAAATAACAAATCTTGTGCGCAGATACTGATTAACTCTCCATTGCCCTCGTTCATCAAACGAACGTTAGTGCTCTCGTATGAGCGCCGCGCCGCACCTGTATGTGTCACTGTATATTAGTACGGCATTACCATATAGTTTTCTCAGATTAACACAGTCTTATAAGAACAAGAGGATGAGATATCAATCTACCACAGTAAAGCTTAGGTTTGACAATAATGTCGACTGTATGTATTTACTCTCGCCATGAGCGCCGTGCTCAGATATATCACACCTAACACTTTCAAAATCTAATCTAAAAAAATTGTACTAACAAAATATTAGAAAATAGCTATACAAATATAATCTAGAAGGTTGTAAATAAAAAGTTTGAAAGTTTTAGAATCAACTTTTATGTCATCCATGCAATTAAAAAAATAAAATGTAAACTGAGCATTCACTTCATAAGAGGGCAATGGAGGATTACAACGGATGCTGGTAAGTACGTATTCCACAGGATAAGGATCTATGAAAAGAGATCTATAAAAATAAAAGTTCACGAAATTATCAATCTAACAATCAAATCCACAGATTCCGGATTTGGAAATTTTAGAGTAGTGTTTATGCCTCGGTAAAACTCTCGTAAGAAATCAAATAAAACAGATGAAAGTTAGAACTCTTGCTAAAGTTACTTGCTTCATCATTATATTTGGCGCAAATTGTCCTCGCGAATGAAGTTCCACTGCAGCCTCGATATATCGGATAAGAACTGTAGGCGAGGGGGAGTGCGGAATACGGAGAGGGTGAGAACTTTTTTCTCGCACACTCGTTCACATATTGTACGCCACGTAGATAGGATCGAGCTGGTCCGCGAGAAAGCCGTCGCGCAAGTGCATCCGTTGCTTCTCACCGCGCGAATTAATGGGTACCACACCGGGGTCCACTACAACTACCACGCCAACCACCAAATGGTGTTCCTCGAGCACGGCGCTCGTCACCAAAGCCACGAGATCGAGGGCCTCGCTTTCGCTACCGTCCAATTCTACCACTACCACTAGAAGGTTGGTCCATGTAAACACAGCGCTGGAAAAAAATACAATAACAACATTCGATTATCAATAGCTAATCGCCAATACAAAGAATAAAAATAAGATAAAAAAGAATAAGTAAAGGTTTCCAATTGAATAGCTAATATTGTGGATTATCAAAAAATTAAGAAAATATTTAAATTAGATTAAAATTTAAAAGGACTTACCATTCTGCGATTTTCTTGTGACACCGCATGACACTGTTCTCGATGTCTATCGGATGGTAGCGCATACCTCGTAGTAGGATGGCCTCGTCGAGAGCACCAACGACGAATACGGCATCATGAAGTTCTGGATCGCTTGGTACGAGATCAGCCTCGGGCACATTGTTAGTATCACCGGGTACGTCGCTAATCACCGACTGTTGAACGCTCTCGGTCCTTCTCAGGAAACCAAGGTAACCGGTCCTCGCGTAGACCTCGCTCGTATTGCCAGTAACCAGTCGCGCGTTGAAGTGATCAGCGTAATCACTCTCATCGCCATAGATCGTGAAGTAACCGCTCGCGTTGTGCGACGACTGTACCCAGATCTCGCCTAGATGCGAGTCGCCGCATTGACCCTTGGTTTCGGGATTCGCAATGATTACTTTCACGCCGGGCAGCAATTTGCCCGATTCCATCAAGCACAGAGAATGCGGACTGCCTCGTTCCACCAGGGATACTCGGTCGTTACGTAATGCACGAAGGTCCACATAAACTGTCGAAGGCTCTGGACTGGATGCTCCCTATGGAACAAAATCAAGAAAATAATGATAGATAAGAATAGATCTCCAGGAACCATCGAAACGATTAATCCAAGCAATCAATTTTACCTGTAAGCAAATGGCAGTGTTTACTCTGCAACCGAATGAGGTGGAGACCGCGCGCGGGCTCAGACCGAGTGCGGAGAACAGCTTACTAAAACTCGTCGTTAACGCTATCCGTGGCCTTTCCTCGGCGACGACAACACACGTTCTCACGCACGCCAGGCTGACGCCTCGTGCCTTGAGCGCGTGAACCGAGGAGCCGAGTCCCTTAGTGCACAGCTCCATAACGCCGTACGAGCAAAACGTGTCTCTTACTCTGGATTGGCTGACCGCCGACAACCAGAGTGCAGGATTAGCTTCCACCTGGTAACGGTAACAAAATCGATCAAATTAAATCTCTTTTCACCGAGCACAAAAATTGCGATACTTACCTCGGATGGTGGTATCAGTATAGAATGATGTCCACTATATATACTGCTGAGACACCATAAGGCAAAACCGAGACCCGAGTACGGATCCAGGCAGAGAGCGATGTGTCTGGAGGGGTAGAGCTCGCACGCCAATTTCATGGCACGGCATAACGAAGTGACCGCCGCGTGAGACATCTTGATGCCGGCGAGCATGCCCGTTGTCGAAACACTGAAGTCCAGATAGGCCAGCATCTCCGCGGTGGGCGCCCGATACATCACCGGTAGCTTCTTCTTTGGCATGTCGTCCATATCTAGGATCATCGGCCAACTCTTCACGTCGACCACGTTGTTCGCTTCCTATGCGAAACAATACCGGTCAATAATAATGTACACCTTTATCGCCTTCTAATATCGACAACACGATCAACATTTTCAATTACCTTTGTCTTCAACAACTTGAGGAGGTTCTGGTTAGTCAACACGAGGACGGATTTGCTGACGTCCACAATCATGCGAACAGTCGGCAAGGTCGTTTGGAGATTTTGCGGATGAGGTGGCCTGATGGTTACCGGCACAGCGCCAACATACAAACAACCGTAAAACGCGCATATCAGATCGGTACCAGGTGGGAAAATTAGCGCTACATGGTCCCCGGTATTGACCCTTCCTCGATCCAAGAGTAGATTCCCGATTCTCTCGGCCTTCTTGTGCAACTGCGAGCAGGACAATGAGGTAGCGACGGTGCCCTTCGCGTTTAACGACGTAAATATCACATGGTCCGAAGTACTAACAGCGCGCCACCGTAGAATTTCAGAGATAAATTGGTACTGAAAGATGAATAATAATGTAATATAAAAATAAAAATTGAAAAGTCGCTCTTCCTTTCTCTCTCCTTCTCATTGAGTTTCAATAAACTTACAAACCTTTTTGGCATTATCACTATCCTCGTCTAGGATACCCATATCTCGTCCCTGCGCAGAGGCTAATCGGTTACCCTGGACTATGTTCCCTACCATAACACTGGCTGGACCGACATCTGCAACAGAATCCCCCGCTACACGCCCCCGCACCATTCCGTTAGTAAACCAACACAAACACTCAACCCAATAATGAGTAGCTCACACACTCTCTCCTGACTGAGGCCGGAAAAATCAAAGCTAGAGCAATCTGGTTTTCGCCATCGTAGCCAACAATACAAGCGTTCATGGGTCTTCCGCTCCACAGGTCTACGCTTTAACGCGCATTCACGAATCTTTGTTGATCCATGGATGCTTGAATTTCCAAACATCTTTTTTTCAATTAATTGTACAGTCCAGACTAATTGTACAGATTCCAAATTGATTACGTTGTACATTAGAATATTGACGTTAAAAAAAGAAAGTACAGAAAAGCACTGAATACAGGAAGCTAAAAAAAATATGGAAAATTTTTTCCAGCGAGAAAGTAATTCAGTAAAAAGTAAAACCTCTTTCTAATTACTGAAATTAATTATATTTGCATTTAATTAGGGCACTACAGGATATTCGGAACTCAGCCAAAAGAAAGAAGGATAACTAAATGGAACGACATGCTAAGCATGTATAATTAACTGTGTAAGGATTGTTAATAAAATAAAAGATGCGCGATAACTTTGTGTTCTAATCTAATCTCAGTATTTTGCAACGAATGTGAATCCCGAGTATTTCCCAAGTAGATATAACACAATGTTACCACGCATTCCGTAGTGTTTCAAAAAAATGCTTTTTTTGTATTTAATCATTAAAAAATCCGCTCTTGTGAGAAATTTAACCAATATTTAAATTTATTTAACTAATACTTCAAATACTCATTTAATTACAGAAATATTATAAGTAGACAAATAAATTCTATCGTGACATCTACTTTGAAACACCGGTATATGTATATGAAGACATTACACCATGCAAGTGTGTGCCAGATTTCTGAAGCCTACCAAAAATTTTATATAGATGTATGAAATTTCTCGATGTGTAAATAGAATTCTAGAAAGAGTAAAATTTGTAATTATCATTTTTCTTCGATTTCTTGCTACTCCACTCCCTTCACTTTCACATACACACATACATTCATACACACATCTTCTTTTTTATTTATCTTTCCCTTCGCTTATCACCCTCGATTACGATTCACATACACAATACAATTAAAAAAAAATTATCAAACTACTCGTAACTCATATCCACGTCAAATGTTTGACGTGGATACGAGTAATGCTAAATATGTTCATCTGATCGTTTGATTTTTAAATTAAATATAATTTTTGTATTAAATCTAATCTTTTCCTATATATCTTATATCAATATTTACAGTCCTTAAGTTCTATTTTGTAAATATAAAATGTACAAAAAAAAATCACTGGCATTTAAAAAAAAAAATGCTTACTGGCGTTTGCACAATTTTCATTATTTAGGTTTACATCGATACCTGTCAGTCACAGAAAGATATCGACGCGATTCCTGCCGTTAGACTTTGCTTCATTTACCTGAATGAATTTCGCGCGGTTTTGGCAAATTGGTGACACATGTGTGAGGACAGAGGAGCACATTAGCCGGATGGAGGGCACCCTCGAGGAAGCGGCGTTTCGTTTCCGAAAGGTGAATACCACCCAGTGGCGTTTTGGGCAAATAGTTTGGAGGTACCAAGGCAAGACAATATATCCCTACTGCATGGATTGAGTCGACTGCTTGCAGCACCCGAGACATCCACTGGAAGCTCTGTATAAAATGATGAGAAATACTTAAATATATTCAAATCGGCTTTCTAACAGATGTACTTTTTTTTCTTTAATAAAAGTTTCTTCACCTTTTTTTTTAAATAACATTTAATTCTAAAACGCACCTCTTCCTCACTGCAATCAGGCCGTTGTTCGGCAACGACGCATATCCTTTCATCCCTAAGAACTCGCACGCTGAAAACGGCGATTCTACCACGATAGATAAATTTCATTGGTTCTACTGCCAAGACAGTGGCGATAATGTCGTCGGCATTGTGTTTCCTGCCAGTCACCGTCATGAGACCGTCCCGCGATCCGCAGACAAACACGAGTCCTCCAGGACCAAGAAAACCCAACAAGCCGGAACGCGTGTATTCTACTTCACCCAAGGCAGCACCGTCGACTTGTAAGGGCGATACCTTGAAGGTATTATTGGTAAGCCCTTGCAGGCCCCAATATTGGCTACCAGTAGCTGCACTGTGTACGCATATTTCACCCACTTCATCCGTCTTACAAATAAATGGCTGTCCTTCCATCTTAATGACGACTACTACACCTGTGAAAAATGCAAAGTTAAATCGTCATTAAAATGCGTCACAGTGCAAAAACAATCAATTTGCAAAAAGACTCACTTCCAGGCATGACTTGTCCGCAATCCTGCAGCGTCAATGACGTAAGGGAATTCTCCTGATCTACTCTGACAACTCCGTAACTCAGGCCGGACATGGAAAGAACTCCACGACCAGTCGCATTCACTCCTGCGCGTCCTGGCCTTCTCACAGAAACTGTGAGTGCCTCGCTCGAGGAAGCGCAAGGACAGACAGCGTCCGGCCTGAGTCCTTTAGACTGGAACACTGAGAGAAACTGATCGCAGGACGAAAGAGACCAAGGATTTGCGCCATCTGCCACAAGTAGTAACCTCAACGATGCCAGAGAGACGTCTTTATGATCCTTAGTTGCTAATAAACCCCAGTGAAGATCTCGTGATTTTACAACCGCGACGCTGGCACGATGTTTCGTGATCATCTGCATCCAACTAGCGGGATTAACCTTCATCAGAGCATAAGGGATGAAAATGACGTGCATGCCGTTTAGCACGCTAGTCAAAGTGCTGTGCCAGAGGCCGACTTCCCGTTTAAAGTCTAGCACGCAGACGGCATTCTCGCCTTCAGTGTAGCCGCAGGCCTGCGTGAGAGCGCGACAGTGGGACATCATCGCCGCCCTGGTAATGGTCACGCCCATCACAGAGCCATCCTTGTCGGTGGTGTATTCAATATACGCGGGGGTGTCATCGGTAAGCCGTGGTGGTGGCAGCCAATCCTTGGGCGTTTTGCCTAGATGCTCGGTAACGAACCAATGCAGTTTTGGCCAGCCCTTAAAAGCTACCACTTCGCCAGCCGCCGTCTTCGGCAGACCCTTCAGGCATGCTTCACTAGTCAACGCCACCTGAAGATATCAAGATAAATAAATGTTGCTGATTCCCAAGGTCGAGTAAACGAGTCACGGTTACGTACATTAACACAAATTGTAATGCAAATTGCAAGACTGCACGGCTAATTAAACATGCAAATATAGAAAAGAATGTTGTTTGTCGGATAAGGCAGGAGACCGTGCTCCGCTTACCTGGATTCCACAGCTTCCTAAGAGAAAACCGATCTGTTGAGAACCCGCGTCACGACGGGTCAGAGGTACTTCGATGGGCACTGGCACGATTCCGGCCTGAAGACAGCCATAAAAGGCGCACATGAAGCTGATCGGATCGTTGTTCGGATAAACCAGGGCGATCCTGTCGCCAGGTTTCAGGCAGCAATCCCCGCCGCGACTTAGAGCCTTATTCAGAAGGGTATAGGCAATCTTGTGAGAGCGACTGAGCAGTTTCCCATACGTGAGCGTTACGCAAAGCTTGCCATTAGGATCCAGGACGGTAGCCACAGGTGCTTTGTACGTCGCCGAGCCATACCTAAATGTAACAGATATATTCTTACATGAATCGCTGAATATATGAATCTCCGCTCGCAGTTTTGAATCGTTGGATCTATAGAACGCGGCATCCTTGACTCATCGATAACTCACCTCTGAATGGCGGCCTCGAGAGATCGTGGCAAACCCGATGGCACCGATAGCGCCTCGCCTGTCGCCGACGTCATAGAACCGCCTTCGGGTTTGGGAGCATTTGGATCCTTCGGATTCGCCGCGATCTCCAGCTCGATGTCATCGTCCTCGTAAAACTCTGGTAGCGGTCGACGTTTCGGCCGTTTCAACGTGTTTAACAGTTGCTGGATCTTTGCGGAGACCTTCCAGCGACCGGTGGTGCCAGTACTGTTCTGATCTTCGACCACATGTGCATAACGATTGACCCGGTCGGCGCCAGGCCGCCGCGTCGCCGATTGTTGTTGTCCGACCGGAGTACTGCTCGTAACATGAGTAACGTCCGGTGGTTGGATATTGCAATAGGCGTGCGGCGTGTACTCGGCGATGTCGGTGATGTCCGCACCAGGCGGCCTCCTGGCCGGCGGTCTGGGAGGCGGTGGAGTGTCGCGAGCGGAACCGGTACTGCTGGTGTCCGACAGACCAGTGCCTATCAAGGTCAACAATAACTTATAGCACACAATTATCGGACAGCTTATTTCGTGCGACCATCATGTGTCACACGCGCGCGGGTTTTTTCATGTTTCAGCTCGCGGTTCAACCACTTTTTTCCACTTGGATGCATGAAGAAAAAATAATGCGTATTGATTATTGGCGTGTCGTCCGGCGGAAACAGTCAAGGACGCGTGATGCCAGCATTTAGCGGAGTCACATGGCGCTTGAACTGTACACGACGCGTTTTCTTACATTCTTTTTTTTTCTTTCGACATATGCGGGTGCAGGAAAACAGATGGACAAAATTACATTTGCTGTATTATGCGGCGCACCGATCATCCACATCCACTCCATTCCATTTACTAGAGATGTGTGAACTATTTGAATACTCGAATCTCACTCGATTTTCGATTCGAATTCGAATTTCTATGTTTCAAATCTGACCCATATTATATATATTTTCAATTTTATAAAATTATATTTCCCGTTAATAAGCAAAACAATACGGTCATGTTAATAGGTGAGTACATTCAGTATTACAACCGCTGACTGAGCGGCTAAACGGTCAAAAAGTTTATTTCTAATTTTTGACATGTTCTGTGATTCTATCAAATTGTAAGTAAAAGTTTGAACGTATGTAAAAAAAATAGTAAGCTATGAGTATTGATAATAAAATAAACTATATATTATTTTATTTTAATTTATATATATGTAATTAGACAATATGTTATTAGATATTACATTAGTATATTTTAATAATTTATCTATGATTTTTCGCCTAATTGTTTACTACGACATTAAATAAAGTATATTTATTAGTTTTATATTAAATATTAAATTTTTTTACCTCAAAAGAATTTATATTACATAGTTAACATTATTTTTCCACATCAAAATATTCTCTTATTATCTACGTGTTAAAATTCAATTTAATAATAGTTATACTATTGATTAAAAATTATTATATTTTAATAATTCGATTCGACATAAAAAAACCTTTATTCGCACATCTCTACCATTTACTAATCTTATGCAACAATTATTTATATAAATAAATCCCGATTTATTTATATTCATTTCATGTAATTCAATCCGTTATAAAAATTGACACACACGCAACAGGAATGTTGCTTCTGTTTTATTATTTCGTCATCATATGTGACTGTAATGATAATTTTACCGGTTGGGCCACCCGCGCCCGGACTCTCCTCGGTGACGACACTGTCCTCGTCGCTGCTGGACTCGCCACTGTCGCGTCTCTCCCGATCGGGGCTTCTGGCCATCACGGAGGTTCTCTTGGACGGCATTGGCAAGGATGGCTTCGGTCGTCCCTGCATCGCCGCCAAGGCTTGCTGCACCGCCTCCTGGCGCACCTCTAAACGTAAGAATTGATTACTCAAACGGACAACGAGGACGGATGACACGTGCGGACACTTGATGGTCTTACTTCCGCATCGTCATCCGTTCATCATCTCCCGACACTATTTATACATACGTATTCATGCGTATTGCGCATCGTACATTTTTTGTCTCGTTGACGATTTAACGTAATGCTCTCGAGAGTGTGTGTGTTGTGTGTGTGTGTGCATATATATATATGTATGGAAGGATTTGCGAGATAAGGTGCTTAGGCTCGGGAAGATTGAACAGTTAAATTAAAGTTATTGAGTAGACACCATAGCAGGACGATACTATGCACATGTATTTTTTTTCTAGCGGTACAACACACACGAGATAAATGAATCTTTCGCATGCTGCCACTTGCAAGATGTGTGCAGACTCTATTTGTTCCATCTTAATTCCGTTTCGAGCACCATTTATCGATTGACACAAAGAACTATAATTGATACTATAATTGCCTTTGTCCGCAATGATTAATTTTGATAAAAAGGTCGCGAAAGATATAAAGATCTGTTCGTCATCAAGGCCGGCTCAAATCGCAGATAAAATTAGTCCGAATATTTTTTAAATGGACAACACCGTGTAAACTTTTTTTTGTGAAATGACACATAACACTATTTTTACAGTCAAATACAAATACTAAAAAATCAAACGTTTTACCTTTAATTTGAAGTAAAATAGTTCTTATTTCTCAGTAGAATTGAACTAATCTTCAAGCAACTTGAATTTCTCGCATTTACAGCCTTTTTTGCGCCAAGACTCGCGATTAAAATGGAATTACGTTTCCCGGTTGTGATAGATGCGTCCAATGCGGCCGATGCCGCTGCGCGTAAACTGCAATATAATGCAGGTAACGTTCGGTCACTGAGTTGTTATATATTTCCGGGTGAAGCATACCCATATCGTTATTACGACATCATGCAACACAGGGGGACGCGGCTCGTTACAAGTTGTATTCGCATCATGTACGTCGACGCATACAGGGTGTCCCGCACATATTTACTTTCTTAGTGTTTATCGTTAATCATACAATTAATTTCGACAAGAATTTTATCTGGTTAAATTGTGCAAAATTTCAATGTAAATATAATATATAAAAAAACACAAGTTAAAATTGATATTTACGTTGTTAACAGAGTAAAAATGTTATTATTTAATAATCACTACCTACACTTTTTTTTAATTTTATTTCCACGTGGGCGTGGATGACATTTCTCGTATGTTTTCTTGGGACGCCTTGTATATGTGTACGTCTCTATCGACGCGAGTTCCTGGATTGGCTTATCTTCTACAAGATACAACACTCCGTCGACATCCGACTGGTAACGGTGCACCAGGTGGAAGATTACCTGCACTTTGCGTTAAGATAAATGAACCTTTCTATCAGCGCTTTTGAACGAAGCGAGTTTTTCTCCAGGTCACGCGGAATGACATTTCATTCGGGGAGGGAGCGTAGGAAGTAAATGCGGAGCAAGGCGTCAAGCTTCGTGAATTTTATTTAAAGAACTAGAGTAGCTAAAAAAATGAAATCGTACCAAACTGTATAAGATTGATAAATAATGCTCACGTTTACACAAGTTATTGCACGCAGAGTAACACGCTGACTCTTGGTTGGATATTATCGGGCATAAAAAGACCGATAAAAGCCTGATGGATCACAGTTTTTCATGCAACATTGTTAACCCTTAAAGATGATCCATATGTGAATCTAGAGTCTATTTCAACGCTCATTCATGTTGCGTGCACGTCTTCAAAAATTAATATTTTTGGACAATTTAGACGATTAATATCAATTATTAGCAATTTTTGTAATTCTATTATATTCTTCAGTCTTTTCTATCCCTATTTCACATATATAACTCATATATATATATATATATATATATATACACCCAAAAAAAAATATTCTGCCGATAAGTGGGGAATTCCTCTTAGCAGTTCCTCTAAGCAAAAAATCTTACATGAAGAATATCCTTCTTTAAGTAATACGTATTACTTTATAAATGAGTGGATGCGTAAGCTATAATCAAGAGTAAATTCCTCTACAGTAAATTCTACTATTAGCCTCTTAAAATAAGAGGATATGCTAGATATTTGCGGCGCGCGCGTTAAAGTTAAAAGACGATCGTCTTATTAGCTACGCGATGCGTACGCTACCACACGAGACGCCCGTGTAGAAAGTTCAGCCCCTTGCACAATGCCAGGCAACAGGCAATAGGAACAGGAAATAATAAAAAATCGTTAATTACAACCTAA